AGTAGAGAGAGAGAGAGAGGAGTTAGAGAGAGAGAGAGAGAGAGAGAGAGGAGTTAGAGATGATGATATTAAAAGTTTTTGAATGATGATAGGTTTAAAATGGTCAGAAATAATGAGAACTAAATAAAAAAACATCAATGACAAATACTTAATAAAGCAGTCAACAAAGGTCATCACTTACAATTTCCCAATTTATATACCTTTCATAAATAACGTAAAAATAAATTATAAAAACCTTATAAAAACCTTATAAAAACTGTATAAACCCTTTTAAAAACCTTTTAAAAACCTTATAAAACTTATAAAAACGATTTAAAACTATTTAAAACATTTTAAAATATTTGTATCGAATCTCTTAGTAGTAGTTATTATATAGAAGTACCTTATAAAGTATATAAAATTTTATAATTTTTTATATTCAAAAAGGGGTATTTTTGAAAATAGATAGATAAAGGGGGTATTTTTAAAAAATAGTACATCAAAAGGGGTATTTCTCAAAAATTCTCATAAAAAATCAACGAAACAAAATTATAAACCTCCCGCGCGGAGCGCGGGTCAACTGCTAGTAATTCATAAAACATAAAAAAGTTTTCACTTAAAACTTTTAATTTTGAATTAGGTTTTGTCAAAACAAATTCAGAATACCTAAATCTCTAATGCAATTTTTTCCCTTTTTTCCTTTTTATAATTTCAAAATTAAACTTTTTTTCCATACTTAAATTTAAACTAATTAACTAGGTAAACAAATCGTTGTGATTCTAACTTTGATTTCTGGTTTGTTTGTTTATTTTCTCTCTTTCTTCCCTCACAGGCTCGTAGAAATCGATTTTCTTATACTCTCATTCAATCATACTTATTTTCTTACATATTGTATGATTTTACACACATACTTATAGCAAGATTTCCACTTTTATATACTTGTGTACTTACACACTCAAAAACACTAGATTAACTACCCATTTTAGCATACTCATCAATAGTTGTATTCTAAGTTTACAAGCCGTAAGGCTAAACAATCTAGCTTAGATTCTATTCTAACAACTCTCACCAACTCCATTACTATTTAGCTTAACTTAGGTGTTGATTAATTTTTCCACGATCACTCGTCTAGCGGTTTTTAGCAGACAGTTGCAGTTGTTAACGGTTGGGACCAATCATAGAAACCGCTTCTAACTTAAACATAACACAGTTACTCCTACTATTGGGCTTTAACTAAACTAACAAGGAGAAATTTCTTCTGTATGGACCTTTAACCTCTCACACACACCCAACAGACCCATAACACATTACATATCGTTCTTGACTTTTCTGTTGACTTCTACTCTTTCACGATCCTACTTGTTCTTCGTTTAGATTCTAAGTCTTGATGCAAGTATACAACAGTTGATTCCTCCTCTTCCTTTTTGTTCCTTGCTGATGGATGTTGCTTCTATGACCCAAATAATTCTTATATATGAATTTTTAGTTTGACAAAAGTATATATCTATATATATAAAGTTAGTTTTTTCTCTCTTCTCATGATGCCACCTAAGCATCCACCTAAACCACATTTTTGTTTAAACATTAAAATAAATTTAAAACATTCATTTAGTGCATATTTATGTTACTTATTTAATTAATAGAAAGTTTATATAAATAAAAATAAATTATGTAAAAAAATGAAATGTTAAAATAAGAAAAACAATACTTTAATTTTTTCATTAGTGGTAATAATATAATTTAACTTTCATTTTAAATTGATCATAATTTAATATTTTAAATATGTTACTGAGTTTTGAGATGGAAGTAAAATTTAAATTTATGGTAGACTAAAACAACATTTATGTAATTGTATATATAAAATTATAAAGAGGAAAAATAAAATGAAAGTGAAATATTAGTTTATAACATGATCAAAAAGAAAAAAATGATATTTCATAAATTGGATCAAATTTCATAAATTGAATCAAATGCTTTTAATCCAAATTTGAGTATTGAAAGATAATAGTTAAAGAGAAAATAATTATAATATTTTTGAAAATCAATTAAAAATAATAATAAAATACTATAATATGAATAAAAAATTAACGAAACAAAATTATAAACCTCCCGCGACTGCTAGTATATAATAACTTGACCAAAATGAAAGGAAGATTCAAATAGATTGAAATTATTTAGTTACTTAGAACTTAGAAGAGACGAAAGGTCAAAAAGAATGACCTAAACTGGAGAGACTAAAGTGGATCAAAAAGACACGTAAGTGTCTCTTAAAGAACCAATCTGTAATACTATTTTGTTTCGTCCTTCACAAAACTCCAACCTCTTCACATGTTCGAACACATGAACACGACAACTTCTCTTCTGCCACTTTCTTTTTTTCCCCTTTCGCAGCGAAAGAAAACAAAATACAAATCGTAGCAAAATCATTCTTGTTCGAAAATTCAATACACGGCCATCACAACTATTCCTTCTATGCCTATAGAAAGAAAAAAAAAGTTTTTTTCATACATCATCTAAATTAGACTCTAAATGGTAACCTTATCGCACTACAAAACCGCACCACAACAATGTTATAACAGTTCCAAAATATCTGCATATACATATATATTTATGTATGTTTGTTACTATTTAAATCGCACCGCACTTCTCTTACAGTAAAAAATGCAGTTACCATTCAGAACGTATATTCATAACTCAAATATATATATATACTATCGTATCTAAAAATAACTATCATTATTTCAGGAATAATATGAAGAAAACACAAATATATATTACTATTGTATTTAAAAATTAAGTGCTGGACTACGCTTATAAACCGCTTTTTTGAACATTGATATTTATACATCCAATCTATTACATCGTGTTTAAAAATAACTTACAAGATGTTCAAAACTATTTAGCTCTAACTATCATTAATTCATGAATAATATGAAGAAACGAAAATTATGGATTTTCTATGTATTTATATTCTATTTCTAATCGAAGATTTCTATTTTAGGTGAAAGAAGAGATGCTATTTGCATTGATAAAATTGACAAGAGTCCATACGTAACATAGTTTTGAGTATCTATCTATCATTTGCATATCTTAAGTCAAAAAGTGTCATCAAAGTCACTCTTTCTAATTAGTGCGTTTATGAATTATTGGTACAATCTTTGATGTTGTTTAATGAATGACTACGTAAACTTTTCTCATAAACAATAATAGAGAAAGAAGTTAAAATAAGAAAAAAGTTGAAAACGAAACCACTTTGTAATGTATAGTCAAATTAAACAATGGTCAAACACGACAACTTTGGTCCCCAAATCTTTCTAATCCTTTGACCATTTCACATGTCCCATCTTCTTCTTTAACCTTACTTTTCAATTCGACCCCAAAACTTTTCCTAATTTGACATCAATAACATAACTCTTCAAAATTGCAAGTAGCCATTCAAGTAGCATGGTAATAATATATCACAATTTTATAAACTAAAAATTTGATAATCTTCCACCAAAAGCTTTCTTTGATTACATGATTTTCATAGTTTCTGTCGTTTGATTCATTTAAACAAGAAGAGTAGTACTAATGAAAGGATCTAAAATTCATAAGCCTTAATATATAAAGATTTTTCTTTTGTTTTTTTTAAGACGATTCCAAAATAAGATCAGCTACAGCTGCTCCGGCGAGATCAGCGGCGGAGAGTGAATGATTGTGATCTCCTTCGTAAGTAACGATTAACATTGACGAATCATCAGCTGCTCTCTCAACATGTTTACGTGCTGGACAACCTCTTACGCTACTGCACTTATAGTATCCTCTGTTTTTCCATAAAATCAAGAAACAGAGCAATCAAAATCAAGAAACAGAGCATATACAAATCAAGAAACAGAGCAATCAAATCAAGAAACAGAGCACATACAAATCAAGAAACAGAGCACATACAAAAAATTTGTGAATTTACCTTGGATGAGGAGATCCTTTAATTGGTTTTTGTCCGTATTTTCTCCATGAGTAATCATCTGGAGGAACATCGGACATTTTAGCACTTATCGCCGGAACCCTAATCACTCTCTTCTGTTTTATCTTTCTGTAAAAACAGAGGAAATAAAAAAAAAACATATTTTTAGATCGAATCTGATACTAAATCTACGAACTTGATTTGTTGGGTCGAATCTAAATACCAAATCTTGTATTAAAAAATATTACCTTTTCTTGGAGCAATGACAACGACCGGAGGAAGTGGCAGAAGCGCATTTTCCGGCGAGGAGGTTCTCGGAATTACATTTTCTCTTCGTTGGTTTTGAGAAAGAAGAAACAGTCGTGGAGAGGCTTTGAGTTTGAGTCATCGTCGTCCTAAACGGCGCCGTTTCAGAGGGACGATGATGATTGTGTTGGTGGTCTGATTCCGTTGTCACAGATGATGAGAGAGATGAGAAGTCAATCGTTTTGAACGATGAAGAAAACGAACCTTTACGGATCATCTGCGGCGCCGGAGGAGGAAGAGAATGGAACGGTGCCGTTTTAGGTTCTTCTTGAATCATAACCGGAGAAATCACCTGAGCCGGAGCACGTCTAAACCGGGCATGACCGGTTCGAGTTCGATCTAGAAGAGATATGACTCTTTTAAACTTGGAAACCGCCGCGTCCGCCGTCGTGTTACGAGCTGATTCAAGATCGGCTGCGGCGGAGGCGGAGGCAGAGGCGGAAGAAGAAGACGGTTGGTCGGAGTTAAAGCTGTCACGAGACATTAAACCAATGAAATTTTCGATGCTTTTGAGTCCTGAAGCTGCTGCTTCTTGAACGGCGAAGCTATCAGCCCCAACGCCGGAGATGTAATTCCGAGTCATGAGCTCCACCGCCATATACTCTCTCTCTCTCTCTTAAGAAGCAGAAGAAGAAGAAGAGAGAAGAGAGTTTGTGTGGACTTTTTGGGATTTGAGTTGTATTGAAGTGTTTGAGGTGTATATTTGTATGGTAGGTGACTGACTAATGTGTCACGTTAGACTTTTCTTTTAAGTTCATTTATAGTCTCTTTTCTAAACTGTTCAATTGTATTGTTGTAATAAAGAGTCAATTTTACTATTTTTGTTCGACTCGAAAAGTCAAATTATGTG